ACTGCCTAGCCCTCCAAGTCACTGTAGAGGCTATATAGCATCCAATAAACGCCACGATTCTGAATAGACAGAACTCGTGCGGCATTTTAGAAGAGCGTCGATCAGCTTGCCCGTGTATCTTTCTAAGATCGCTTTCGCACAATCGCACCTAGTCAAAAAAAATTTGATCAGTTGCTCTAAGAATCGGGTAAGTTCGCCACAGCACCCAGCCGTAAACTTACGGTGAACATTAGCGTTACATCCTACCGTGTCTGTTTACTTGTACTCTCGCATACAAAAAAAAAGTAGTAAAAAAAGTTTCATAAGGAATAGATCCGTAGGGTGATTTGGCTAAACGCAGCAAAAGAGTTAAAAGCAAACAACGAGAATAAGTAAAATACCCGTTTCTTTTTTGAGCGCTTTTTCGAACTCTTAGGCGAACCTTCCTCTTCTTCGTCTTCTTCGTTCTCGCTGTCGCCAGTCCCCTCGTCTTCACTTTCCGAATTAATCTGCATTAGTGAAATGAGTATTTATCAGCAGAGCATACAGAATAAGCCATATACTTTTCTCTTCCTATTTTTCTTTTTCGGTGCTTCGTCCTCACTTCCTGAGCCATTTTCATTTTCATCGTTTCCGTTTTCTGAACCAGACCCACTATTCACCTAAATGCGAGATTACAGCATAATCAACTAATTAGATAAACTTCGTTAATGTGACCAACGGCAATAAAGACAACTACCTCCTCCTCTTCTTCCTCTCGTTGCTCCTGATAGTCGCCATCGCTCTCATCAGACGACATACTGAAAATATATCACTTAAATTGAGAACGGTCAAAAGTACGACAGTTGAACCACACAAAATCGACATCAACAGCAACTTGCATGGAGGATCCACCACAGAAACGCCTTCACTTTCTTATTAAAGGGCGGAGGCCGTGGTACTGTATGTATGGAATGGAGCGCGCAATCAACGGCCTCTATCCTGAGATCTTCGGCGTAAGGCCGCGTTCATACATGATGCAGAAATGCGGAATATGCAGAACTGCGGAATTTGCAGAAAGGAAATATATACGTATCGATCTGAAAACTGCATTTCTTCAAATTCCGCGGAATTTGCCGACATGCAGAAATGACGGACAAAGAATTGATAGGGATCGACTGGTTCTTCCCTGCCGTCGTGCGGAATTGGGAGAAATGCAGAATCTGCAGATTCTGCAGATTCCGCACGACGGCAAAATTCGCGGAATTTGCCGACAATGGCCAGAATTACGTGATAAGAAGCGATAGGGATCGATCGGTCCATCGGCATTTCTGCAAATTCCGCACTTCTGCATATTCCACGGTTTTTGAAATCGATAGACATATTTTCTTTTTCCTGCAAGTTCCCGGTCTCTGCATCATGTATGAACGCGGCCTAATAGATCTACAAGTGTAACTGTTTCTAAATGAATTTCCATCATTCACAGAACTCTTTGAAATAAGGCTTAGATTGCGCCCATCGGGTTACTCGCTCTATCACCGGCTTACATCCACACAGCCTTTAAAATTCAGGCGCATGCTGTAAATCAAGAAATTCCCGCGAAAGGGATTGGGCGCGAGACTTTGTGTGTTAGGATGTATAAACTGCTCCGAGCCGCACTATCCACATTTCTTTTTGGAAAAAGATGAACGCTATCCGCGCAGGTGCGATTGGCCACTCTCGTGCCGCACGGGCCCGTTAGGAAAATCTCCAGGAAGGAGTTGTACTTGCTTGCTAGGGGAGGGGTTCTTCGGTAGTTGTTAGGCAGCGTTCATACTTCGCGACAGCAGCGGCGATCGCCGCGATCGTCGGTACGTGGCAGAGCGCGCCCCAACGCTATTATGGACCGCTCGCTTGATAAATAAGGGAATCCAACTTGCTAAAACTTCTTTTCTCTTAATAATGGCTACTAACTGATAACTTACGACTTTCTATACATAAGCGGATCTGGAATATGAGGTAAGGAGGTTTCACTTCTTTTTAGGTCGAGATAAGGCCAACTCCATTCCCCGAGTGAGCTTCTTTTTTGTTTCTTTTGTTTTTATTGTTTCAATTTATACAAGCGCCTCAAAAGTTCCTATCGTCTGAACTGTTCCAACTTCCAAAACATTTATAGTTTACAAGTCGAGTTCAAACAACGAAGAAAAAAAAGAACAGGAAAGAAACTCCACCCAGGAACCAAAACCACTTA